CTCACCGCGGCTGCTGGCCGGCCCCTCCGCCCCCTCCTGCCCGGCCTTGTAGTACGTGATGCCCCGGACCACGGTTTGCTGGTGCGCTGGTGGCTTGGGCTTGGGCTTGGGCATGGGCTGTGAGCCCACCCTGCCCTTCGCAGGGTCCTTTTTGGGCTTCTCAGGCTTCACCAGCTTCTCCTTGGGCGCTCGGGGGGCTGCCCTGTCCCCCTGCACCTTGCGGGTGCTGGGGTACCGTCCTGCCTCCTTCTCTCTGCCATCTGCCGTGTCCTGGGGGGCACATCCCAGTCAGATCCCCTCCCCTCCCCTGCCATGCCAGACAGTGGGGGCAGGCAGCACCAGCCCAGGCTGCCAGCACGGTGCACCCCAATGCGCTGGTGCACCACAATGCGCTCGTGCACCCACTGCAAGCCCAGGGAAGCTTGGCTCTGCCCCGTGGCAGGAGAAGCCCCGTGGCACCAGCCTTGCCTGCGAGGGGCTGGGTCCCCGGGGGTACCTGTGCCTTGCTCTCGGGGACGCCGGCAGCATCCTTCTGCAGCAGCTGGTAGCCCAGGTTGGAGATCTCCTTCTTGATGCTGATCATGATATCGGAGTAGTTCTCGTAGCGTTTCATCTGGTCAGTGAGGTGTAGGACGCTCTCCTTCATGAAGTTGTTCTCTCTGCTCAGGTTAGTCTTGATGGTCTGGAGGAGAGGAGAGGTGTGGAGCCCCACTCAGGGAGCCCATGGCACCCCCAGATGGTCCCGAGCAGCCAGATAGGGCACGCCATGGGAAAGGTGCCTGCCAGAGCTCACTCACCTCCTCCAGGGTGTTCATCTGGGCCACCACCTTGTTAATGTAGGAGTGCACCTTCATCAGGTCCATGCTGTAGAGCGTTCCCTCCAGCAGGTCCACCATGGACTGCAGCTGCAGAGGGAGAACCAGGCTGGGGCACGGGGCAGGGCTGCGCAGCTGCTGCGGATGCCCCCGCGCGTCCCTGTCCCCGCTCATGGCCGGAGCACAGGAACTACACGGCTCTGTTGCCCTGGAATGGGCAGGGACGGAGAGCGTGGACTGCTGGGCGCGGGAAGGGGGTCTCTAGCTCCCACCCCACAGTCCCACCACGTCTGCAGATACCTTGAAGAGCTCGGGCGCCTGCTTCTTCAGCTTCTCCATCTTCCACTCGTTCTCGCAGGGGTTGAGCGAGGAGGGGGGAGCGGTGCAGGAGCACTTGCAGTCGGCCCCTGAGCTCACCGTCTCCACCGTGTAGAAGTCTTCCACCCGCACGCTGCCGCTCCTGACGCGGCTGCAGGCGTCCCTGCTGAGCGGCCGCAGGATGCACTTGCAGCGGCAGGCGGAGGACTCCGCGGTGCCGCGGGTGCGCCGGTGGGGACACCGCCAGTGGGGCAGCTGGTGAGGACCTGGCTGGTGCCAGGACCCGGCAACAACAAGCAGGGCCAGCGAGGAGGAGAGCCAGAAGTGCCTCCGTGCCCCCGCGCCCACACAGGGTCCGTTGTTCATGGCGACACGCAGCCACCTCGGGGTGAGCTCAGCCCCTCCAGCCTCCCGCCGTGGCCCGAGGCACACGCTCAAGGACTCCCTTGTCTGCACACATGGCCCTGACTCACGCTACGGAGCCCAGGGTGCTTTTCGGCCGGTTTCTGCAGATAAGGAACGGTTCTCCC